CACACACACACACACACACACACACACACACACACACACACACACACCGTCCTACTCCCACACCATGTACTATATGGTTTATCCTAAAAATTCAGGACCAGTTTCCTCTACCTGGAGCAGTAGATCTCACCGGCGGGGTCTTCCTCTTGGCCAAGAAGTTTCTCAGCTGTGCCTGTTTCACGGGGGACAGTTTAGCTGCAAGAAATTCATGAACCCATAAATGCGTAAGACTCGGTTTTTAAGATGTCAGTAGATGAAAGAGAACAAAGAGAGTTTAAAGACCGGGAAGAACTCATTTACCTGCGACTTTGGGCAAGGGCTTGGTTTGAAAGTCTATGGTTGTTTTCAACAAAGCATTGCGCAGGCTTTCGAGGTCGCTGTCAAAACTGAAATAGGATAGTGTTACATATGAACCAACTACGACCTGAGAAATCGGGGTGGTGGTGGTGGTACATTATCTTCCTAAATATAAAGGCAAGATGTGAGAGCATCCCAATACAGAAATGGAAAATCTGACCAATCAAGGAAATTAATCCAAGAGGAAAGAGATCACAGTCTCAATATTATATCCGATCCCCAGAGCAAACACACCACCAACGGGGCTCCAGCAGGAAGGGCAATTAAAATCTACACATTCAGCCTAAAGGCAGAAACACGAGACCACCTTGGTAACTTCAGGGGTAAACGGTCTAACTGCAGGGTCTGAAATCTCCACACTCTTGCAAAATGATAAATCTGAGCTTCAAGACAAATTGGTCAACCTAATCCTGAGAGTTAATTTTCAACTGAACAATAATACTGTGACTATAGTATCTGCTATCATCTAATGAGCATCTGTTTCATCAGGCACACTACTAGGTGCTTTAAAGACTCAGTTTTAAACTCTCCAGTAATGCCATGAGGCACGTACTGTTAGCCCTACTTTTTGGCAAAGGAACAAAGGATCAGAGAGGGTGAGGAATCTGACCAGGCTCACACAGGTGAAAGACAGCAGAGTCACTTTCAAAGCCACATGTGAACCATTCTAAGACTACTCCACCTAACTCTATTTATTCATTCATCAAACCACATTTATTGAGTGCACGTGGCATTAACAGGCCCATCCTCCTGCACACCTGTGAGTGCTGCTCTGCGAGGGGACATCCAAGGGAAGGCCCCACTGGGAGGTTTGGTTATAAAGACGGAGCTGCTGGAGACTATCCACCAGGTGATTCAGCCTCTTCCTCTGTTGGTTGATGATTTCCCGGTTGTTGGCAAGGGTGTTAAACAGCGTTTCTCGCTCTGGCACAAACAGGCGCCTGTTGAGAGCAAGGAGAAAAGAATTAAATGTGAATGGTTCAAGTAAAGGAACTCCCCACCAAATGGAAAAAAAAAGACTACAACTGTAACAGTGAGAAGACTGAACTGGAGAACCACTAGTGGGAAAGAAACATCAAGAAATTATTAGAACATAAAAAGGGGATGAAAGCCTAACGAGGATAAAGTGTAAGGAGGAAAGAGCAGCTTAGCATGCGCAGGACCGGGCCTGCAGCAGAGGACAGCACAGCCAGACAGAACCTCAGATGGGTTCCAGGGAAGCAATGGGGGAAAATTCATCCAGCTATATATTTAGGATATGCATATTTCTCTGTATGTAAATTATATGAAATAAAAAGAAAAAGCCCAAGGGTACAGGGAAATCTAGGGAGTCAGTCATTTCTTCAGAGTGCTGTCAAAAAAATACCTAGAAACAAATGACAATGGGGACACAATGACCCAAAACCTATGGGATGCAGCAAAAGCAGTTCTAAGAGGGAAGTTTACAGCAATACAAGCCCACCTTAAGAAGCAGGAAACATCTCGAATAAACAACCTAACCTGGCACCTAAAGCAATTAGAGAAGGAAGAACAAAAAAACCCCAAAGTTAGCAGAAGGAAAGAAATCATAAAAATCAGATCAGAAATAAATGAAAAAGAAATGAAGGAAACAATAGCAAAGATCAATAAAACTAAAAGCTGGTTCTTTGAGAAAATAAACAAAATTGATAAACCATTAGCCCGACTCATCAAGAAAGAAAGGGAGAAGACTAAAATCAACAGAATTAGAAATGAAAAAGGAGAAGTAACAACTGACACTGCAGAAATAAAAAAGATCATGAGAGATTACTACAAGCAACTCTATGCCAATAAAATGGACAACATGGAAGAAATGGACAAATTCTTAGAGATGCACAACCTGCCAAGACTGAATCAGGAAGAAATAGAAAATATGAACAGACCAATCACAAGCACTGAAATTGAAACTGTGATTAAAAATCTTCCAACAAACAAAAGCCCAGGACCAGATGGCTTCACAGGTGAATTCTATCAAACATTTAGAGAAGAGCTAACACCTATCCTTCTCAAACTCTTCCAAAATATAGCAGAGGGAGGAACACTCCCAAATTCCTTCTACGAGGCCACCATCACCTTGATACCAAAACCAGACAAGGATGTCACAAAGAAAGAAAACTACAGGCCAATATCACTGATTCACATAGATGCAAAAATCCTCAACAAAATACTAGCAAACAGAATCCAACAGCACATTAAAAGGATCATACACCATGATCAAGTGGGGTTTATTCCAGGAATGCAAGGATTCTTCAATATATGCAAACCTATCAATGTGATAAACCATATTAACAAATTGAAGGAGAAAAACCATATGATCATCTCAATAGATGCAGAGAAAGCTTTTGACAAAATTCAACAACCATTTATGATAAAAATCCTGCAGAAAGTAGGCATAGAGGGAACTTTCCTCAACATAATAAAGGCCATATATGACAAGCCCACAGCCAACATCATCCTCAATGGTGAAAAACTGAAAGCATTTCCACTAAGATCAGGAACAAGACAAGGTTGCCCACTCTCACCACTCTTATTCAACATAGTTTTGGAAGTTTTAGCCACAGCAATCAGAGAAGAAAAGGAAATAAAAGGAATCCAAATCGGAAAAGAAGAAGTAAAGCTGTCACTGTTTGCAGATGACATGATACTATACATAGAGAATCCTAAAGATGCCACCAGAAAACTACTAGAGATAATCAATGAATTTGGTAAAGTTGCAGGATACAAAATTAATGCACAGAAATCTCTTGCATTCCTATACACTAATGATGAAAAATCTGAAGGGGAAATCAAGAAAACACTCCCATTTACCATTGCAACAAAAAGAATAAAATATCTAGGAATAAACCTAAGGAGACAAAAGACCTGTATGCAGAAAATTATAAGACACTGATGAAAGAAATTAAAGATGATACAAATAGATGGAGAGATAAACCATGTTCTTGGACTGGAAGAATCAACATTGTGAAAATGACCCTACTACCCAAAGCAATCTATAGATTCAATGCAATCCCTATCAAACTACCACTGGCATATTTCACAGAACTAGAACAAAAGATTTCACAATTTGTATGGAAACACAAAAGACCCCGAATAGCCAAAGCAATCTTGAGAACGAAAAACGGAGTTGGAGGAATCAGGCTCCCTGACTTCAGACTATACTACAAAGCTACAGTAATCAAGACAGTATGGTACTGGTACAAAAACAGAAAGATAGATCAATGGAACAGGATAGGAAGCCCAGAGATAAACCCATGCACATATGGTCACCTTATCTTTGATGAAGGAGGCAGGAATGTACAGTGGAGAGAGGACAGCCTCTTCAATAAGTGGTGCTGGGAAAACTGGACAGGTACATATAAAAGTATGAGATTAGATCACTCCCTAACAGCATACACAAAAATAAGCTCAAAATGCATTAAAGACCTAAATGTAAGGCCAGAAACTATCAAACTCTTAGAGGAAAACATAGGCAGAACACTCTATGACATAAATTACAGCAAGATCCTTTTTGACCCACCTCCTAGAGGAATGGAAATAAAAACAAAAATAAACAAATGGGACCTAATGAAACTTCAAAGCTTTTGCACAGCAAAGGAAACCATAAACAAGACCAAAAGACAACCCTCAGAATGGGAGAAAATATTTGCAAATGAAGCAACTGACAAAGGATTAATTTCCAAAATTTACAAGCAGTTCATGCAGCTCAATAACAAAAAAAACAAACAACCCAATCCAAAAATGGGCAGAAGACCTAAATAGACATTTCTCCAAAGAAGATATACAGATTGCCAACAGACACATGAGAGGATGCTCAACATCACTAATCATTAGAGAAATGCAAATCAAAACTACAATGAGATATCATCTCACACCGGTCAGAATGGCCATCATCAAAATATCTAGAAACAATAAATGCTGGAGAGAGTGTGGAGAAAAGGGAACACTCTTGCACTGCTGGTGGGAATGTGAATTGGTTCAGCCACTATGGAGAACAGTATGGAGGTTCCTTAAAAAACTGCAAATAGAACTACCATACGACCCAGCAATCCCACTACTGGGCATATACCCTGAGAAAACCAAAATTCAAAGAGTCATGCACCAAAATGTTCATTGCAGCTCTATTTACAATAGCCCGGAGATGGAAACAACCTAAGTGCCCATCATCGGATGAATGGATAAAGAAGATGTGGCGCATATATACAATGGAATATTACTCAGCCATAAAAAGAAACGAAATTGAGCTATTTGTAATGAGGTGGATAGACCTAGAGTCTGTCATACAGAGTGAAGTAAGTCAGAAAGAGAAAGACAAATACCGTATGCTAACACATATATATGGAATTTAAGGAAAAAAAATGTCATGAAGAACCTAGGGTTAAGACAGGAATAAAGACACAGACCTACTGGAGAACGGACTTGAGGATATGGGGAGGGGGAAGGGTGAGCTGTGACAAAGCGAGAGAGAGGCATGGACGTATATACACTACCAAACGTAAGGTAGATAGCTAGTGGGAAGCAGCCGCATAGCACAGGGAGATCAGCTTGGTGCTTTGTGACCGCCTGGAGGGGTGGGATAGGGAGGGTGGGAGGGAGGGAGACGCAAGAGGGAAGAGATATGGGAACATATGTATATGCATAACTGATTCACTTTGTTATAGAGCAGAAACTAACACACCATTGTAAAGCAATTATACCCCAATAAAGATGTTAAAAAAAAAAAAAAAGAAGGAAACAGAGGAACAGCACACGATTTAGCAGCAGGGGGGTCACCCACCCAAAAGAATTACAAGAAGACAGGGACAACTGTCCCCCTTCTTTCTGGTGACAAGGTAGTTAGTTCAACATATATTTTTAACAGGCATTTCAATAGGGTACAAGGTAATATTTAGAGAAGGGCCCCAAACAGAGAAGTGCTAGAAAAATTGTACAGATTTAAGAATCTGAACTCTACAGAAAGGGAACTTAAAAAAAACACATCAAGGGACTTCCCTGGCAGCGCAGTGGTTAAGAATCTGCCCGCCAATGCAGGGGACACGGGTTGAGCCCTGGTCCAGGAAGATCCCACATGCTGGGGAGCAACTAAGCCCACGAGCCACAACTACTGAAGCCCATGTGCCTAGATAGAGCCCGTGCTCCGCAACAAGAGAAGCCACCGCAATGAGAAGCCTACACACCGCAATGAACGAAGAGTGGCCCCCGCTCGCCGCAACTAGAGAAAGCCCAAGTGCAGAGGGAAAAAAAAACAAAAAAAAAAGCACGTTAAGTAGAAAATCCATGGGGTTGTTTAAAGGAGAACAAAGAGCCTGGCTTCTCTGTTTGCATCATGCACTTTTTATTGTTTATTTTCATTTTTAAATTTTTTATTATTTTATTTTATTTTATTGGCCGTGCAGCTTGTGGGATCTTAGTTCCCCAACCAGGGATGGAACCAGTGCCCCCTGCAGTGGAAGCACTCAGTCTTAAGAACTGAATCGCTAGGGAATTCCCCATCATGCACTTTTTAAAAAGCCAACTTATTAATTAGCAAAGAGAAATCCAACTGTCAAGCAGAGCAGAATGTTCTGTCAGGTCAAGCCATTCTCTCACATGGGGAGGAACATGAATTCAGAACCAGGGGAGTAAGCTCTGAAATCTCTAAAGGGGCCCAACTGCCCACGGGGACAAGTGCTCCAGGCCACAGAACCTTCCCCCTGCCAGTGTCTGGAGGATCAATGTTCACCTCTGTCTTCCCATATCTATGCTCCTCATGTCGGGCACAAAGCCTTTTCTCCACGTTGTGGAATATAATGTATTAAATTTTGTTTACTGAATTTTAAACACCTTCTAGCCCTGCCCCTGACACAACACCCAGGTTGCCCCACTTAAAAGTCTGTGACCTCACGGCTTTGTAAACAAGTGAATAGACCATTTCCTGGTTTGTTTCCTTACAAGGCTAATCACATTAATCAAGTATAGGTGTTTCAGAAATCTAGCATTTGGAGGGCTGACCTGGTTTTCACATTTCTTGTGGGCACCTTACTGCTTTCACAATGTACTGCATTCTATTCCTTCTGGAAAACACGAGGCATAAAACCAAATATCCACGGATGGAAGATCAGGATAGAAGATTTTCCTCTACCTCTGTTACCACTCCTCTCATCCTTTTAGTTACCCATACTAATTAGGAATGTTTCCTCCAAAGGAAAATTTGGAATATACAGAAAAGTATAAAAGAAACATTCCTCTTGATCTCGTCTTGCAGGTGTAACTATGAGTATTTTGACAGATTTACTTCCAGCCTTTTCTACATTAGACCTCCACAATGAGGTCACCTAGTATGATTTTATGTCTTACCTTTTTCATATTTTATATTTTATACCTAATAGTTACAGAATTATGTATCTTATATAGTTCATGTAACACAATATATTTAATATGATTTTTTTGAGAATATGAGATTCAGTGGCTACACAGTATCTGCATTAAGAAAACAATGTGACCAGATTTATCAGCCACTCCTCTAACTTCTGGGTAACTAGGTTGAATCCAATTTTTCACTCTCATAAACTGCACTGTAATATAAACTGTTCTATGTAAATTATTGTGAATATTGCTATTATTTATGTAGAACAGATTTCTAGATGTACAATGACTGGGTCAAAGAGAATGAACCTTTGTAGGGTTTTTTGTAAATCCTCCTAAGTGATCTTTTAAAAGGGCTACAGCAATTATCTACACAGTGGATGAGAGACCTCGCTCACTTTTGTTTTTTCTTTTGTTCCAGATGCCGATCCCACTCCAAGTCTAGAACATCATTCACATCTTGGACAGCAAATTTCACATACTGATGAAGGCGCCGAATTTCCTACAAGAAAAAAATGAAACGTCAAAATGACTCAGTTGTCCAGTAGCTTGCAGGAAGGTGTATCAAAACAGTTAAAATGACTTTGAAGTCTTTTTATACTGAGAACCATAATGAACAAGGAAAACGTAATAGGCTTTAATACAATATTAGAATGTTATAATTCAAATGAAAAACAGCAACTCAACCTTTTAAAGCGTGTGACAGAGAGGTGGTGTGAAGAAAAGGGAAACAGAAAGGGCGTATCGGCCTAGGGCCTCTAGGGAGCCAATGTTCTTGCTTAGTTCTCATTTTCAGCTCCTGTAAAGTACCTCCACATGGCCTAGGAATTTTCCACTGCACTCTGTTACTCCGACAGGGCACCCATTTAGCTTCTGCTCTCCCACCCCTGAAATTAACTGTAATACAGACAAAATTATTCTACAAAACAGTGCTGAAAATACTTCTGCACCTATCTATTCATAGAGTAGAACACATAAGTCATCTCACCAGTGGGGAAAAACCCATTTCTCAAAAACAAAGAATAGTATCAGCACTAGAAACTGAATTTGCCATTATTAAAAGTCTTACCTAGTAATTCATTTTAGGCCTGCAATAATTTTCTTTAAATATTGGTCCAGTGTTAACCTTCATGGCTATACCATTTGACTCTCAAAAACTAAAAAAATATAGCATTCCATTAAACATGTGTACAAATGAAGACAATGTACTTTACAGTGGAAAACACGCTTTACATCTGTACAAAGATCTTAACGTGTTTAACTGTATTTTCAAAATTATTTTCGGATAAGGGTATGTGTCCTAACTGAAGAAGAAAATGTCATGTAAAGAGAGCCAGGCTGATTCCAGGAAGCAGCAGTAACCTTAGCATCAAATACAAATTTCAACTCAATGCTCCATGACTACAGGGAGGCCCTTTACTGTGGACACTTCAAATGTGACCATACCTCTGTGCATTAACTGATCTTGTTTCTTCCGAACGCCCTCCCAACTTTGTCTGCCAGGAAAAAAAACTTTTCTTTTAAGGCCTATCACAAATATTTTTCTGTGGCTTAGCTGCTCCCCCATCTGCAATCCCATAGCAACACACCCCACGTTATATTTACAAGTCGATCTTTCTGCTGCTACTAATCCAGCTGTAGTGTAGTGCTGAACACCATAGGCTCTGAGCCAGACCCCCCAGGCTCCAGGGTCCAGCATTTATTAGTGGTGAGACTTGGGTAGTTCCTGTGTCTCTGATTCCTTATCTTTCTTTTGTATATGGTATGCATTCAATAAATGCTAGCTATTATTATCTACTTAGCACTGTGGAAAAGAGAAAATTATTTCCCTTGAATGGGGAAAGTGGTTCACCCAAAGCTGAATTCTTTTAGTTTGCACACAGAGCAAGGGGTGAAAAGGCACATAGGAAGAAAGAGTAATCAGATTCAATGTGGAGGCCTGTAATTTGATGAGTGGCAGGCAGGTGGTCGGCACTCTCTGCTAAGAGGGTTACCATCCCCAGGAGAAGGACACACCTAGGAATACCTCAAGGGTGGCAGGACACAGCAGGGGTTCCTCAACCTTTCCGGGAGGCCTCCACTTCTTTCATTTTCCTACTGTCAGTATGCTTACCAGGTGGGGGATGGAAATGACAGCAACAGTAGAGTCTGCAGCCTCCAATCCTCCGAGGCAGGAGGGGGTTCACCACACTCACAGGCCCTCAGGTCCCAGGTGAGGAAGGCCAGTGCTGCCACCCCTGCACCCTTTCCTACCTGATTCTAGGGAAATGCAAGGTGGTGGGAGATGACCCCTACTAAAGCTGTGATGCAACAATTTTGAATAAATTGAAAGATGGAAACAAAACTCAGATTTCGCTCAAAGAGAATATAGGAATAATTAAGAATGAGAAAAGTAACTTTGCTAATAGTTACAGGAAGGAGCCCCGGCAGGTAGAAGTTTCGATTCTGGTCCCACTCTTACTAGTATCAACATTACCTTGGGCAAGCTCCTTAGCCTATGATATTCCAGTTCCTTATCCGTACAATGGGATCAGTAACTCTCACCTTGCAGAGCAGCAGGTTTTGAAGACTAGAAATAATGTATTAAAAAACACCTCACAGGGCTTCCCTGGTGGCACAGTGGTTAAGAATCCGCCTGCCAATGCAGGGGACACGGGTTTGAGCCCTGGTCTAGGAAGATCCCACATGCTGCGGAGCAACTAAGCCCGTGCGCTACAACTACTGAGCCTGTGCTCTACAGCCCACGAGCCACAACTACTGAGCCTGTGTGCCACAACTACTGAAACCCACGCGCCTAGAGCCCATGCTCCGCAACAAGAGAAGCCACCACAATGAGAAGCCCGTGCACTGCAACGAAGAGTAGCCCCTGCTCACTACAACTAGAGAAAGCCCGCGTGCAGCAAAGAAGACCCAATGCAGCCAAAAATAAATAAATCAACGAATACATTTATAAAAAAAAAAAAAACAAAAAAAACCCCACACCTCACAGGGTACTTGGGTACTTGGTGCCCAGTGAACAGTTGCTAGTTTAATAATTATTATTCCTGATTTGATTTCTAAATGTATCTTTTTCAACAGCTACTCTCTACCAATCTTAAGGTTTAATTAAGAATTACGTTTTTGTTTAATCCAGAAAACCTTAAGTGGGAAAGTGGCATTTTCTTTGTGACGGTGAAGGGAGTCTACGCCAAGTGGGTCAACACTCGCAGGCAATGAACAACTTTACAAGCAGCTGGGCAAGCCTGTACCTCCCAAAGGAGTGCCTGTCTAGGAGTCTGTTCTCAGCAGCTCTGGCGGGGCTCTCCTTACCTGGAGCTGAGCCTCACTCCTGGGGTCCAGCGGCCTCTTATAGAGCAAGTGCAGATACCCAGAGTCACGGTTTCTCTCATTTTGTTCTCTGGCTTCTTCAACACCAGCAAAGCCCTCAAGTAAAGTTGTTTTCAGGGTACTTATATCTCCATGAAGAGACTAGAAAAGGTATGAGGATGAATTGATACAAAAGTTATTTCCAAGAAATAAACCTTTCTTTCTAGATCAAGGAAGGTGGTATTTCTCAAATATTTAACGTGATGAACATATGAATATAGCAAAAAGTGAATTTCACTGCTTGGAAAGAAAGATACTAATGCTCATTTTTTTTTCCTTCCTCACTAAAAAAAATACATACTCTAATGATCAGAAACTCAGGAAATAAGGTAAGTACTGGTAATCCTGCCATCTAAAGATGATCACTGTTAAAACCGTGGAGAACGTTCCTCTTTCTTTTTTTTAATTTTTAAAAATTTTATTGAAGTACAGTTGATTTACGATGTTTCAAGTGTACAGCAAAGTGATTCAGTTATATATACATATATATATATATTCTTTTTCACATTCTTTTCCATTATGGGTTATTACAAGATATTGAATATAGTTCCCTGTACTATACAGTAGGTCCTTGTTGTCTATCTACTTTACATATAGTAGTATCTATTAATCCCAAATTCCCAATTTATCCCTTCCCCACCCTTGAGAACTTTCCTCTTTCCAAGTGTGTTACTTAAGACCAGAGCTCTGGAGTCAGGCAGTCTGAACTGGGATCCTGGCTCTATAACTCAGTAACTGGGTGGCTTTGGGCAAATTACTTCATCTCTCTAAGCCTTGGTTTCCTGTTCTTGCAAAACAAAAAGAATAATAGTGCCTACCACACAGAAAAGCTGTGAGGATTCAATGAGATAATATAGATATGCCTGGCACATAGTAAGTAGTAATAATTGTAACACAGTAAATAAACAGTTAACAACAAATATTTGTTACTTTTATACTGTATATGCTCTTAAGTATCCTGCTTTTACTTTAAACCTAACCCTTTATAACCTAACAATTTACTATAAAAAATAGTAAATTTTCTCCTGTAAATGACCCACAGTACCTTCATTAAAGTCTGCTTTTATACCAAGAAAAAAAACTGAGTAAATTTTCAAATATATCTAAACTAGGGCTTCCCTGGGGGTGCAGTGGTTGAGAGTCCCCCTGCCGATGCAGGAGACACGGGTTCGTGCCCCGGTCCGGGAAGATCCCACATGCCGTGGAGCGGCTGGGCCCGTGAGCCATGGTCGCTGAGCCTGCGTGTCCAGAGCCTGTGCTCCGCAACAGGAGAGGCCACAACAGTGAGAGGCCCGCGTACCGCAAAAAAAAAGAAAAAAAAAAAAAAAAAATATATATATATATATATATATATCTCTAAACAAAATTAACAACTAGAATAAACTTTTATGGAGTGCCTTGTAAGTGTCAATGGGGTAGAAAGTACTTATTATTCCATTTTCCACATAAGAAAACTAAAACATAGAATAGCTGGAATAATTTGCCGAAAGTCACATAACTTATTATTAAGTGCTAAAGGTAGGGTTTGAAGTCAGGCATTCCTAGGTAAACCACTCAGCCACATAAAAAACAACACTGGTGGTTCTTGAAGAGAGAAAATATATACATCCGTGGAGTATTAGGACAACAATTTGCAAATGTGCAATTCAACTTAGGAAGAATATCAAAAACACAAACCTCTGTGGTCTCTTTAATCTCCAAAAGAAAGGTGTGCAGGTCATCTGATTCTGTTCGCAGCATCCTCATCTCCTCAGAAGTGCCCACTTGGAAACAGGCTTTGGAAGTTCGGGCTTTCAGCTCTTCCAACTCCTTCTGAAAGTGAGTGATCTGCAGAGGCCACAGATGAGGAGACGGCTCAGTCTGAATGGCATGGCAGTCATGTCACTGCTCCTGGGCCCACTAACAGCACAGACTCCCGGGACAAGCCAAGGCTCAATGCCAGAATAAAACAGTCACGTATGAGTCCACACTCAGAGCCAGTCAAGTCTCACTATCAGAGCTACTTCTGGAAAAATCTGCAGGAACAAATTTACCTCCTCCCCGATTCCAGCCATCACAGGGTCTGACTCTTTCCACTGATGTCCCTGCTTTTCTGTAACAGGAGGCTGAAGTGATTTTGCCTGAAATGAAAGGCAAAGGTTTTAAAGTGCACCCCACCCCCCAAGTAATGGCTTCCTGGAGCAGGTGGCTCAGTGTCTATCACAGGTGTGGCGCTCTCACAATACCATCACTGTTCCACCATTCACTCTTTTGAACCCGTATTTACTGGGCACCTTCCTGGTATAAGATATGCTCTAGGGCTTCCCTGGTGGCACAGTGGTTGGGGGTCTGCCTGCTGATGCGGGGGACGCGGGTTCGTGCCCCAGTCCGGGAGGATCCCACGTGCTGCGGAGCGGCTGGGCCCGTGAGCCATGGCCGCTGAGCCTGTGCGTCTGGAGCCTGTGCTCCACAATGGGAGAGGCCGCAACGGTGAGCGGCCCGCGTACCGCCAAAAAAAAAAAAAAAAAAAGATATGCTCTAGATAGAGGTAAACAAGGTAGATGAGGTCCCTACCCTCATGGAACTCACAATCTACTGGGACAAGACATATAATAAGAGGCAAACAACTCAGGTAATTTTAGCTAGTGATAAGTGATACGAAAAAACTAAACAGGAACATATAGAGAGAATAAAAGTGGGCACTGCTTGACATGAGACAGCCCAAAAGCCCTCACTGATCACTGCCTCTGCACTGAAACCTGAAGAAAGGGAGAAAGCTATGGAAAGCTCTAGGGGAAGCACCTCCAGGCAGTGAGAAGAGCAAGTGCAAAGAACCTGAGGCAGGAAACACTTCGGCAAGTTTGAGGCAAAGATATAAAGTGAATGTGGGCACATCAAGTCAGGGAGGGAGCTGGGGGCAGGCAGAGGCAGGTCGTGTAAAGCTATTCCAAGGAGTCTGGATTTTATTCTAAGTGTGTTGGAAAAGTACTAGCGGAGTTTTAGGAGAGTTTAAACTATTCTGATTTACAATATTAAAAGATCCCTCCTACTGCTAAATAGAGCATGGATGACAGTGACAGGTAGGAAAAGAAGTAGGAAGAGGAGTCAGGAGGCTAATGAGGGAAGAGATGATAATGGTCTGAAATACGATGTTAGCAGGGGACAGAGATGTGGATTTATGACATACAACACATCACAGAGCAGAGCTGGCAAGACCTTTGCTAGTATGGACTGGGGGAGGTGCTGCTGAAGAGAGGAATCTAGGATGGCTTCTGGACTGGGGGTAGAGCAAACTACCTGGTTAGTGCTGCTTACTGACATGGGAATACTAGAAAAGGAACAGGGTCTGGGGAAGGCGGAAATGAAGGATTCTGCTTTGGAGATGTTATAACTTGAGATGGCTTTCAGATTATTTGATACCTACAGCAATTAACACATGGAGAGTTTTCAGACTGCATAAGCATTCATTAAAACAGCTTTATTTCATAAATGCCATGTGTCATGCTTTATGCCAAAACCTACACCTGTAAACTGGCCATTTACTGTGGAGCCTGTACAGGTGTGTGCTGGGGGCAGGAAGAGGTTGACTGGGAGAGGGACAGAAGGAAAAGACATGACTCCTGTTCTGAGGACACTCAAGTAATCAAGTGGGAAATGGACAGAAAATGCTCTTTAAGTTAAACCATAAAAATAAATGGAGATGACAGACTGCAGATCTAAGTATGAAAAGTAAAATAATAAAACTTTCAGAAAACATAGGAAAACATCTTTTTTTTTTTTTTTTTTTTTTAGCGGTACGTGCGCCTCTCACTACTGTGGCCTCTCCCGTTGCGGAGCACAGGCTCCGGACGTGCAGGCTCAGCGGCCATGGCTCACGGGCCCAGCCGCTCCGTGGCATGTGGGATCCTCCCGGACCGGGGCACGAACCCGTGTCCCCTGCATCGGCAGGCGGACTCTCAACCACTGCGCCACCAGGGAAGGCCAGGAAAACATCTTTTTGACCTTGGAATAAGAAATGATTTCTAAAACAGAACACAAAATGCACTCATTATAAAAGAAAAATTGATATGTTGAATTATAGTAAAATTAAAACTGTAGTCATCACAAGACACCACAAAGAAAATGTAAAGGCAATTCAGAGAATGAGAAAGTATTAGTATTTGCATTATACGTATGTGTTTGCACATGCATGTGCATATCCAACAAGGAACGAACTCTTACAGATCGGTAAGAAAAAGACAACCCAAAAGACACCCTGTAAAAGAAGACAGTCAAATGGCTAAGAGTCATATGAAAAAAAAAAGCTGAATTTTACTAGTCATCAGGGAAATACTAATCAAAACCACAAAATACAACAACAATAAACAATGAAAAATACAAAGGCTGGCGAGGATGTGGAGCAGCTGAACTCACATGCTCCTAGTAGGAATGTACTGAAGAGGAACATATGAGTATTCTATGACCCAACAATTCCACTCCTAGGTAACTGCCCAGCAAAAAACGCATACACATATTAACCCAAAGACGTCAGCTAGCATGGTTATAACAACACTATTCACAATGACTTAAACCCAGAAACTACTCAAATGCCTGTCAAGGATGGAATGAAACTTGTAGTAGAGTTGTCCAATGAATTCCATACAGCAACAATGATACAGAAAAATCTCACAAACATAATGTTGAGCAAAACAGTCAGACACAGGAATATATACTGTATGATTCCACTGTACAGAAGGTACAAACAGGCTAAACTAAGCTATGCTATTAGAAATCATAATAGTGAGACCCGTTTGGCAAGAGTTGTGACCAGAAAGGTGAACATCAGCGGGACTCCGGGACCCTAGTATGTTCTATTTCTTGATCTGGGTGTTAGTTACCAAGGTGTATTCAGCTGGTGACAATTCACTGAGGTGGACGTGTGTCACATGTATCCTTTTTTACCCCCATGTGTATTCTATGTTAGTAAAAAACTAAGTAACTAAAATAAACTGAGTTGTTATGGAAAGAAAAAGAAAAAGAAGGCAGTGGGTAGATTTCTTGGTTACTTTGGGAATGAGAGAAAAAAATCAGGTGCTACACCACAGTCTTCAGACATAAAGAGAATTCAACAAACGGAACATAACATGGATAAGCTCAGGAACCAGCAGAGAAAACAATTCTAAGACTCTAGGGTTGAGATAAATGGCTTTTATGAGCTCACATTACAAATATTCAAAGATCATACTTTGGTATTTCCTATCACATAATCCTATATACTATTTCAAAGGTGTGAATTCTAAAACACAAAAACCCATTTTATAAACATGTATGTTTTGGGCAGTAAATTAATAAACACAGCATTGTAGGTTGAGTTTAAACATACCTGGGGAGAGCCTGACTTGGCCACTGGAGGGGTTATCCTGGGTGATTTCTGTACCGTTGACGGCACTGCACTTGGACTACCCTGAGCAGACCGCCCTGCTAGAACAAGAAGTCAGTTAAAACCAACAGTATTTATTCCCATTATTTCTCCTATCACAAACATCCTTTCCTCAAATCTAAAAAAAAAAAAGTTTCTCATTGTCCCTAGCCCCCGTTTATGATCTTTATTACCAAGAGTGACACCCACAGTTCCCAAATAACTAAAAAACACATATTACATTTTAAAACGGGAAACTCCTTTGTAAAGCAGGTAGAACTGAAGTGTCTCTGATCATAGGTGTGTGGATGGTGTGCAGGCCCAGGAGGCTGCCCACTTGGCCCATCCTTACTCCCCACAGAGGCTCCTGATGCACCTCTGGGAACTGGGGGCAAAGTTTAAAGACCACCAGAACAGTAATCCCCATCACCCTGTAAGAACTCACAAGGTCTTCAGGACCCTCCTGGAAGCCTCTAGGACAAGTCTCACCCTGTTGTGCATTAGAATCACCTAGGAGTTCTTTAAAAAAATACACCAAAACTCATACCCAAGCCTCATCTCCAGAGAGCCTGATTAAACGGATAGGGAGGGGATCCCCCACTGCGTCCAGTGTACAACTGGGATTGCAATCCAATAATGCAAGACCTACCAAACTGTAAGAATTAAATATGTCAATGGGGGTAGGGAGATCTGGGTGGTAAGCGGTGGAAACGGAGAAAATGTACGTGTGTTACGGTACATCTCCTCTCTCCCAAACTGTAAAGACATGGGAAAAGACTAAAGGAAGGCTTGTTAATTTTTTGGGTCACAGACAGGTGCTTTTCAGAATTTGATGACAAGTCCCAGAATGAGGTGACTTTGGCAAACGCCACAAGGCAGCTCTTTCTCCTGAGCAATAGGTAAGAGAGATTTCAGGAATTTCACAGCTCAATGCTTGCTCAATATCTATCAAGATAAAATGATTCCTGACGCTCAAACACCAAATGGCTACCCAAGTAGGTCTGGCTCGGTATTACCACTGGAATTCACAGAAGCAACCAACTTAAAAACTGAGACAGATCTGACAAACACCTTCCCAACCATGTGAGCAAACTGACATCACTTACGTCAGGACAAAAAGAAATCCTGTGATGTGAGGCACATCACCTATGTGGTATTACTGCTCAAAATGTTTCATGCGAATCTCACCATGTGGAAACTCTCAAATCCAAACTGAGGGACTGTCTACAAAACTAACTGGCCTGACCTCTTCACGAATGTTAATGTTGAGAAAGACAAAAACGGTGAGAAACTGGTTAAGACTAACAAGACAAAATCGGAATATAACATGTGGTCCTTGAGTGGCTCCTGGATTGGAGGGAGGGAAAAAACGACTACAAAGAACATTAAAAGGACAACTGTGGAAATGTGAATACCGGCTGTAGACTGGATTACTGTTAAATTTCCTCAGTGTGACAATGTATTGAGTACCCTTATTTTTAGGAAACATACTGAAGTTCCTAGGGGTGAAGTGTTTCATGTCTGCGATTAACTTTCAAATGTTTTAGAAAAAAATTACATTAAAAAGGAAAGACATAAAGCAAATGGTGCAAAATATTAGCAAGTGTTGACTCTCAGGGAAGGGCATGGTATTCAGAATATAAGTTATGCAACCTTTCTGTAGGTTTGAAGGAAGAAAGAGATAGGCTGGGAACATTTACTCATGGGGTTTTATAACGCACTTCAACTTGGCTATAATCATTATTCCCATTTATGATCTCTATTTAATAAATCTGCTTGCGGTAGGGCTGAGTGTGAAAACCCAAAGACAGTCATCAGAGGAAATAAGCATAAAGCCACCGTAGGCTCCTTCTCATCTATGTGGCTTAAAGACTTGCTCTGTGACTGACCTTCACGTAGGGCAGGCTCTGCGTGAAGATAAATGTCCCACAACAAGATGGAGACAGCATGGCAGCACTGAGGCCACTGTGAACCTTCCCAATGCAGAGTACAAAAGCCACAGAACTTCAGTTTGAGTTACAGGAAGCAAGAAAAAGGATTTAGACAACAGTCCTTAAAAGTAAGGATTTTTAACTTGGGAAAATTTTTTTTGGCCGTGCCGTGTAGCTTACAGGATCTTAGTTCCCCAAACAGGGATTGAATCCGCACCCCTGGGAGTGAAAGCGCGGAGTCCTGACCACTGGACCGCCAGGGAAGTCCCACAGCTTGGAAAAATATACATCTGGGAATTCAGGATTGAGCTCTAAAGCAGTTTGCTTAGAATCATACCCGACACTGAGGAAGAGACTGAGGACTTGGATGACAAGGAACTGGATGATGCCGACAGAGGTGCAGGGTGGCTGAGAGGTCCAGAGGATGCTGGCTTGGAGACCGAGGAGAATGGCAGCATTGAGGCTGAGCTCTGTGAGTTGTGAACAGGAGCAGAGGTGGCCGCGGCCGTGAACCTGAAAATGGAAGCCCGAATGGATCAAAATGGCCTGCTGCTGTGAGATCCTTTCACACTGGTCGTGAGCGATCATCAAAGGATAACTTACTATCCATACATTTTTGCCTTCAGGAAATGCAAACATTTAGCTATTTCTTATAAAAGGTGAAAGCTGCATGAAAGCATTTATCATCTGCTTATTTGGAATGAAAAATTCAGTGCAAATATCTAATAAGTACTTAACATGATGATGAAACTAAGTTTATCACGGCATAAAACATTTATTGCCGATTCTATCAAGCTGAGTGAAGAAAGAGGGTGGGACTCTACTGGACTTAGGAGAGTTTAGCGCTCTCCCTTTGCCAAGGAAATTACTGAGAACTCGTTGTGGGGTGATCATCTCTGGGGAGTGAGGAAGGAAGAGGAGAGCAGGTCACCCTCCTTGGGATGCTGACCATCTGCTGGGCAGGGGAGGTTAAGTTCCACCTAAAGGGCAAACGTCTGTGAACAACGTAAACAACAGCATCAGATGACTGGTCAAATAGATTACGGTGTGGCCACAAACTGGAATACTAGGCAGCCTTTAGAGTGAAGTGGCTGCGTGGCAAATTTAATATGAACAATGACAGCGGCCAGCAGCCCCTTCACAGTAATAAGAGATAATACAGAAGAGTGGGGGAAAACTGGTAGCGTTTACACTCAATGGCTATCTTAGGAAGGGTTACAAGGTATAAGGGATTACTTCACTCAAGAAGCTTACATGCTAGTGGTGAGAACAAAACAAGCAGATAAAGAAGGAAAAAGTAAGATATGAGTGAGTTAGTAGGACCCAGATCTGGAGGAAAGTGGAATACCACGCTGAAGTGTTTGGATTGTACTCAAAGAGCAATGAGAAGCCGCTGGGGACTGTCATCTGATGTATTTACAATTTCACAAGATCACTCAGTGGCTATGTGGAAAACAGTTCAGAGAGTCAAGAGTGGACACAAGGGAGAAAAAGGACTAGAGAGATTCAATTTCCTTAAGGGATATATAGTCTGTATTGCTTCATTTTTTAAAAGTAAGGAATACCTCCTACATTTAAAACCTGCAAAAGCAAAACAAGCATTTAAATATAAACTTCTAACAGTTAAAAAAAAAATTCTAAGAGACATCCCTGGACTCTGTCCACTGATGAAATGCAAACCTTTATGTTGTTTGCATTTTTACCATTTGCAAGTATTACTATGGGAAAAAGGAAAAGAAAATCTATTCAATAACTCCACTCACAGCGACTCTATTTCTAGTGAACAAGCGATATTTCTACCCGTCAAACTTTAAGTGTTACCTACTTTTCGCTAAGGTTGACCTTGACTGCAGAGGCTGATGGTGGGAAGGTGGGCTTCATTCCTGTGTTTGGAGCAGACACGCTTGGCACTGGCGTGCTTTCCAGGGTAGGCTTAAAACCCGATGATCCAAAGGAGAATGAGGCAGCTGAGGGTGCCATGGGAGAGGCCGCAGGCGTGAGCACGAGGGAGGCTTGAGGAGGAGGAACAAAAGAGAAGGAGGATGCTCCAGGGCCCAAGGCTGCTTTGGAATTGTCAGAGGCACTGGAACACGGAGGGGCCTCCCCAGTGACAGAACCAGATGACTTCAAGGATGAAGAACCAAAGGAGAACACAGCAGGGGCTCCCACGGCGGAAGGCAAAGAGAAGGTGGAGGTGGGAGCAGCCGGTGATGAAGGCAGAACGGAGGCAGGAGCTACGGCTGCTGCCGCATCGAGCTTCTGCGGGGCCTGAGAGGAGGTGGGAGTAGTAGGAGTACTTCCTGCAATGGGAAATATGGAGAAAAAGGAAGGGAGAAGTTAACCCCGTAACAGTGGAGGTCCACATCACAGAGAGCAAGTGGGTTTGTGGAAGAATGAAGCCAGAAATAATGGTTCTCGTTCCACAAGGGAAAAAAAAAAGGGGAAATGGAGTTGATGTTGGACTTTCCATAGCAAACATTCCATATGGTAAGATGTCTAAAACTTTGAAGGAAAAAGGAAATGCAAAAAGACATTAGACTAATAGGACTTCATGAACACCCACTTGAGTAATGTAGAAAAAATACACTTCTCAATGTTACAGTGAAAAGTAAGTTATTCTGCAATATTTTATTATCAGGAGAAACCTTTAATTCAGACTTACACCTCATAATAGTCACTAAAACAACTCTAGGTTAATTAAAGATACACACATATACAAAAGCATATATATAACTATATCTCAAAACAAAGGAGGCAAAAAGTGAGTTGTCTCTTAGACTCTATCAACTTGATAAACCTAAAAGTGACCCCCCAAAAAAACACAAAAGATAAAGATTTGACTATGTACAGAAATAGTTATACAACCAAAAGGTAAATGAAAAAAAATTTGCAGCAAATGACAAGTAATATGTTTTATTTTTTTTAAAGCTCATACAAATTGAGATTTAAAAAAATTTGAGACTTTAATAGATATAAGCTGGGAATCTAATTCATAAAAAGAAAATATATTCAGTCTCTCTAATCAAAGAAATACAAATTTAAAAGAGGCATATTTTTGGCTGTCCTCTAAATTATCAAAATAAAAATATATATAATCCCCTATGTTTGAAAGGGTAAAACAAACCTGAAACTTTTTATCACTACTAGGTACCTTTTTAGCACAGTCTTTTAGAAAGCATTTTAGCATTTTGCCTCAAAAATCACAGAACATGTACCTAGTAATCCCAATTTTAAGAATAAAGACTACGGAAATAACCTAAAAAATGAAAAAGATATTTAATACAACCCAAATGGTAAAATATATTCAACAGAGTGTTAAACACTCCTAAATGAATCATAAAAATTACTTAAGAACCTGGAAAACACTTAAAGTTTAAATAAAACACCAGCATACCAATTATGTATACAATATAATCACAACTATGAAGATGTTTATGAAGAAACACTGGAAGAGAATACCATAAAAGGCAAGTTTAAAATTTTTTCTATTTTCCAAACTTTCTATAAACATGTTAATTCTCCAAAGTAAATAACTAACTAAGAAAGCAGTATTCTTTTGTCAATACATTTATGGGTCTTGGTTCTTCCAAATTGTCAGGGGTGACAGTTTACCTTCACTATGCCTAAAGCAAGGAAATGCTCAGGGTGCCGCTGTGACAGTGCCGCTCTCTGAAAACAACGACCCCCAGGCAGCCTGTCACTTCCATGACAGTATATAACGCAAGCCTATCTATTCTGTTAATACCTCCTTTACACAATAAATATGGAACCAACAACAGCTTACCTCTTTAGAGACCCAAGCGTATGTGTCAATCACTTCCATGCATTTAGTAGACCAGTACAAAAAGCATATGCCAAACCCCAAAGAAATCACAGGCATCTTCCCCACTGAAAATGGAACTAAATATCTGAAAACCATCATGCTGCTCTTTGCGATCATTCGACCCAGCATCCTTGGCGCTGGAGTGCGGGAGCAAGCAGAAGCACTGATGTCCTCTGAACCCATGAGCCAGCTTCAGCTAGAGCTGGTGAACTGGTGGGACACCTCCTCCCCCTTCAGTGGCCCTCTTCCTCTCATCTAAACATGGCTGTTACCTCTGGGCTAAGCATGAGGGAACACGGGGTTTCTCTAGGAGAGGCAAACAGTAAAACTGGTCTTTGCTCGCGCTCAGGGAATAAGGGGCTTGTAGCAAGCCCCTCACACTGAACTGTGCTCAGAAACAAACATCATCCCACAGGCTCCCGACTTCACAGGGTACACTGCTTGTTACACACAGACCCAGCAACTGAGTGTAGGTAGTTCATGGGACTCAGGACCACTTAAAGGGGAAAAAATAACTCAGAGTACACACTGCAGAAAAGGAGATATCCCAACACAACAACACTGATACAGTCTATGCAAGGCACCCGGTACATTACTTGGGGTCACACTGCCAGTTGACAGGAGCCCAAGTATCTGAGTGGCTCTATTTATGAAGTACAACTCACTCTGCATTGGGAAGCAGTGAGAAAAGATCCCCTAAGTGTTCTCCACCACATCCAACCCAACTGGTCAACATTTCTTCCTAGATATAGAATTGGTGGCAGTATGAGCTTTTTTAGCTATATTAGAAGAGAAAAAACTTACTAGTTATATACTCACAAAATTCAAAAAAAGAAATATTAGTAAAATTCCACAATATGAAACAATGCCCTTCTAGAAAGTTCATTCTGTTCTCACAAGTGACCCACTGCCGTTGTGAGAATTCTGAAGACGCAGATGGGCACTTACACGCATGCATTTACGTATGTGAAGCATAGGTACCAAAGTGCTGACTGGCTGTATTGCTTGATGGGTTCTGAAGTGGTTCTGTCTTTGTATTTTCTAATTTTTCTCCAATAAACATATATTACTTAAGCGATATCTTCAAAGAGGAGGGGGAAAATAAACTAAAGAAAATGAAATACAAAGAGAAGATTCCCACGTTCTCATCACCCAGCAATAGCCACTATTTAGATTTTAACATCTTTCAAGTATTTTTTCTATGTACATATTTTTCTCATAAAAAAGGAATCAGAGTATACAGTGCTCTTTTACAGTATGTTCTGTCCTTTCCTTGTCAATAAATATAACATTTTTAATAGTTACATGGCATTTCACTGTATGGATGTACAATCATTTATTTAACCAACCTCTCATGATTAAACATGTTAGGTTTCAGACCATATAATATAGGGTCTTATAATAGGATACTGTCAGTAAATTACTTAATGGGATCCATCGGGCTGAGATTCCTTTTTCTCTAAAGTAAAGGTCGGAGAATAAAGCTTGGGGGTGAGAGAAGGCAAGTATGTGCATGTGTCTGAGGAAAAGATTAGTCCTGCCTCGGTAAGACAGACTGGCTGATAAAGATAACCACTGTGTGTCCTCACACTATTCATCCCAGCAAATACTCCTGTACAAGCCCTCAGTATCCCCTCTCGGCCAAAACGGGGGGAGGCACGCACCTGATGACTTGGGTTGTCGCTCTCCTTCCAATGAGAGCCGCTCTGGTGTCCTGAGGAGGGACCTAACACCAGGATTTTGATTGATCATGTAAAATGGACAAAGCACACCATCTGTTGAAAGTAACATAAGAACTGGAGCAGGAGGAAGAGTCTTCTCATCATCTGTTAAAAAAGAAAACAAAGGTGATAAAAGGGCCAAGTCGATTGAAGGGCCTGGGCCCAGAAGCGGAAGACTGCCGGAAGCAAAAGACGCTTCACAGGACTCATCTCTACAGTAGCTCGAGGTGGTTTGTTCTGATTTGGATCTGAACAACCCTTTATGAAACAGCTCCTTAAAGAAGAGCTACTGCCATGATCAGATGGCCACCGTCCCACCAGCCCTACAGGGAAGCCCTAGCAGTCCTGCAGTAGCTCTGACTCCCAAACCTCTGATTTTTACATGTGTCCCGGTGTTTGGGAGGTAGGTTTAGCATTCCCCTGACCAAGACAGGAGTCTCCAGGAAGCGACTCCTTTAGTTAAAAAAAAAAAAAGACAGATGAGCCTCTTTGGAAAACACACGGTAGGGCACAGAGAAGTGAGTCCCACTACTTTATATTCATTCACAGTTGAATCATAAGCATGTATTTTGTCAATTAAGTCTTTACGAGAATCAGAGTAAATGAGCTAATCAGACCAAACAGCCTGACCAGGGAAAGGACAAGGAACTTAGTGGTGTCTGACGGGTACACCTTTCTAAAATGAAGCACAAAGCACAAAGAATATGGCTTTTTGTAAACAAATATTTTTTTCCCAGTTTTACTGGGATAAAACACAAACATCGTACGTGTTTACGGTATACATGACGGTCTGATGGATGTATACGCTGTGAAATGATCACCACAACCAGGCTAATTAACACATCCACCACCTCACGTACTTTACCATTTTGTGTGTGTGGTGAAAACTTTTTTTTTTAATTTTTATTGGAGTATAGTTGATTTACTATGTTGTGTTAGTTTCTGCTACACTGAATCAGTTATACACACACATATATCCACTCTCTTTTAAGATTCTTTTTCCATATAGGTCATTACAGAGTATTAAGTAGAGTTTCCTAGGCTATAGGGTAGGTCCTTATTAGTTACCTATTTTATATATAGTAGTGTGTCTATGTTAAGATCTACGCCCTTAGTAAATTTCAAGTATAGATCCCCAGACCTTATTCCTAATATAATTGAACGTTTCTACCCTCTGACCAACACCGCCCCATTTCCTCCACCCTCTAGTCCCTGGCCACCACCATTCTTGCTCTCTGCTTCTCTGAGTGTAACTTTTTTAGATTCCACATATAACTGAGATCGTGCAGTATTTGTCTTTCTGTGTCTGACTTACTTCACTCAAGGTCCATCCATGTTGCAAATGGCAGGATTTCCTTTTCATGGCTGAACTGTCCATTGTATATATAACACATTCCCTCTACCTATTCATCCACTGATGGACACTTCGGCTGCTTCCATATCTTGTCTGTGGTAATATTGCAACGAATATAGAAGTGCAGCTATTTCTTCAAAATCCTGATTTCACTTCCTTTGGAAAGGGAAGTGGAACTGCTGCCTCACATGGGAGTTCTATTTTTAATTTTTTTGTTTGTTTGTTTGCGATACGCGGGCCTCTCACTGTTGTGGCCTCTCCCATTGTGGAGCACAGACTCTGGACGCGCAGGCTCAGCGGCCATGGCTCACAGGCCCAGCCGCTCCGCGGCATGTGGGATCTTCCCGGACCAGGGCACGAACCCGTGTCCCCTGCATCAGCAGGCGGACTCTCAACCACTGCGCCACCAGGGAAGCCCTATTTTTTAATTTTTTGAGGAGCCTCCATGCTCTATTCCATACTGGCTGCACCAGTTTACATTCCCACCGGCAGTGTATACAAGGATTCCCTTTTCTCCACATCTTTGCTAACACTTGGTATCACTTAGCTTTTTGATAACAGCCGTCCTAACATGCGTGAGGTGATAACTCATTATGGTTTTGATTTGCATTTCCCTGGTACTTAGTGATGTTGAGCACCTTTTCATATACCTGTTGGCCATCTGTACATCTTTTTTGGAAAAACGTCTATTCAGGTCCCCTGCCCATTTTCTAATCAGGTTGTTTACTTTGTTTTATTCTGCTATTGAGTTGTATGAGTCCCTTATATATTTTGGATGTTAACCCCTTATCAGATATATGGTTTGTAATTTTTTTTCCCATTCCACAGGCTGCCTTTTCATTATGTTGTTGGTTATGTTTCCTTTGCTCTCTCTCTTTTTTGTTATTCTCTTACTTTATTTTTTTATACAATTTTTAAAGGTCACACTCCATTTATAGTTATTACAAAACATTGGCTGTATTTTCCCCATGTTGTACAATACACCCTTGTAGCCTGTCTTACATCCAACAGTCTGTACCTCCCACTCCCCCACCTCGATATCGCCCAGCTCTCCCCTCTCCCCACTGGTAACCACTAGTTTGTTCTCTAGATCTGTGAGAAAAAATGTCTTTCACATTTCAGGAGACTGCGGCCCTGCCGAGCCTCAGCAGGGGAGAAGACAGACTCAAAGCATGTGCTCAGGCCCCATCTGGAAGCCTGTGCCTGAGGCCTCCATTTTCTAACCAGGCCTTCGAACCAAGTATTGTATGTAGCACCCAAGTGCCGTGGGGCGCTGTCCCCTTGGGAGGCACTGGGAACCTGGAAGGGGCACAGAGACAAAGCTATGAAATCAGCACTGTGTATTTTAGCCGTATTCTAAAGCACACACAGACACGCCAACACTCAGATACTCAGACACACAGAGTATGTGACCTCGGTCAATGAACATCCATTCAAATTAGATGAGTGTTGTACAACACACTGTCTCACTCTTTAAGTAGAAACATGGTACAAGTTAAAAGTGCACAGCAGAGTAGATTCTGTCATGAAAACATAGAGCTGGATTTGAATATTAACCATGATGGGAAGAAGACCACTTCTGCGCTAAGCTGTGTCAGACTATACTTACTGATGGTGATTTCCACTTGGTTGGTGTAATCTATGGCAACTCCCATGGGCAAGGAATCATCACTCTTGTCTGTCACAGGCAGTTCAGCTCGGCTAGAATCCTCCAGCAGCCAAGATTCCCAATTACTCTGGACAAAAGAACAAGGAGAAGAAGAAAATGCCATGTTGGTTAGAGCCTTCTCCAGCACTGCTCAACAGAAGAAAAAAGACAGCTCACGTGGTTTAGAGTTATATGTTGACTGAGACTCTGAAATCTGGAAAAACAGTCTAAAAGCTATGAGTCCCCCAGCAAGCGAGGGGTTACTTTTCCAAGTCAACCTCTCTGTCTGTTCCTGGCATACGAAGCTCCTGCCTTGTGAATAAATAACCACTACTGTGAACACTCTCTGAAGTACTGTCCACCACAACCAGGTAGACTCCTGAACACAGAGGGTGAATCTAATAGCTGCACTAAGCCAGTCAGTAGCTGCTCCTAGAAATCTGGGACGGGAACCAGGATCTCCAGGGGATCTCCAGTGAGGTCTTGAGCAGAGCAGCTTATAAAGCTGGCCAAATGCCCTGTGCTCACTCGACCACAGAGACAGAAGGTAACCTTAGTTCTTGTCTTCCTAGTTCCTGGTGTCAGTTCCTCACACTGGCCAATCATCCTGCCACTGGATTCCTTGAGAAACCACCACATCTTTCCAATAAACTCCCCTTTCGTTCAAGTTTGCTCGAGTGGGATCTGTTCCTTGCAACAAATGATTCCCGGTTTTTAAAAATCTAACCTTTCAACGTTGACCAAAACTGGGCAGCATGAATCAAAGGGGAATAATGCTCAATGAGAAACAGAAAAACAAAAAACTGCTCAGGAAAGGGAACATAATTATGCTCCATGACTTAGCTATGGAGTCAACAGTCACATTCATAATAACATAAACAAAATGGATTCCAACTTGGAAAAACAATCTATAGACAAAATAAAGAAGGCTTGCTAATCACTACAGAACAGAATACAAACAGTATCAGCTTTGATTTTGTGAAAGACGAGACACAGATGACAACAGCTTACAGGTGGGAGTGGGGAAGGTGTGCTAAAGGCAAGGGTGGGGCGCTGACACGTTCCTCTCACAGCTCGGAAGATCAAGAGAGATGCTGTATGGGAATACCATAAGAAACGAAGGTAAAAATGATTACTTAAAGTTCAAAGATAACAAATAGAAGAAACTAAAACAGTGCTATAACCCTACTGAAAGGAAGGAGGGAGGGTTTGAAGGCCACATGTGAGCTAAATCCTCATTTGCCCTAACAGCCCAATAGTTTAACATTAATAATCAACAACTAGTGATAAAGCAAATTATTATTTAGGGATAAGGAGGTAACCATTAAAAGAAAAAGTTTACAAGTTAAAGGTGGTCCCCTTTCGTGGTTGAGAGTCCGCCTGCCGATGCAGGGGACACGGGTTTGTGCCCCGGTCCGGGAGGATCCCACATGCCGCGGAGCAGCTGGGCCCGTGAGCCATGGCCGCTGAGCCTGCGCGTCCGGAGCCTGTGCTCCGCGACGCGAGAGGCCGCAACAGTGAGAGGCCCGCGTAACACAAAAAAAGTGGTCCCCTTTCGAGAACAGGACAGATCAGGACAGGATGGGCAGTGGTGATTTTTCACTTATAAGCCTTTCTCCTCTATTTGATTCTTCAACCATGAACATAATTATTTTGATAAAAAGCAAAAATAAAAGTGTTTTCAATGTGTGAATACATAAAATATTTGTGCTACTAAGAAATTGTGACTGAAGTTAATCCAAGAGCAGCAACTCAGACCGCTGAGCTCTGGCCTGCGGCCCTGAGGACTACGCGCTATGGCTGGCCACCTCGCTGCCCAGAGAAGGATGGACAAATGTTGAATGACTGAAGAGGCATATGTACCTGTGCATGGGGTACACAGAACATTTTTAAACTCAAGGTAGACTTTTAAAAAGAAAAGTTTCTGGCTGAGGAGTTGTGAGAAATGGTCAGAATGCAGATGCATTTTGCAAGCAGACCAAACATTACCTTTTGATAGATGTGAGATGTGAGAGAAAGAGAGTCAGAGGTGACACCATAATTTTTGCTTGAGCAATGGATGGAATGGAGATTAACCTACAAAGAAGGGAAAAACTTGAGGGAGGAGCAGGTATTGGGAGAAAAACAAGAGTTTAGTTACAGACAGTATTAGTTTAAGATACCTCTTAAAAATACAAGAGGAGTTGCCACTTAGACATTTACATATGAGATAGAAAAGTACCCCTGGAATAAACTCCACTTGCGTATTGCATATAATTCTTTTGCTTAATGCGTTATTTAATGTAGTGGTATTTAATTTGCAATGTCAAATTCTGATACACATACTACTTCATCTGTATTTTATTGGTCCATGTATTATTTTGTTTCTTTTTGCCTAGTTCACTATTTAGGGTATACCAACACCCTGTAACAAATATAGATCCAAATATGCACTAGCCAACATTACAGAAGATTTTTGGAGTTTGACTGGGTATTCAAGTTGGCAGAGTGGCTGTCCTACCAGCTTTATTCAGGGATCCAAGCTCCTCATTTGTGGCTACACAAGCCATTACTTTAGTCCTTAACCAACTTTGTATCCAGGTGACAAAGAGAAGAACAAATGGAGAAGGCCCACAGTTCCTGGGGGCCGGGCCTAGAATTAGCACAGAAACTGCTGCTCCCATTGGAATAGGTAGAACTCAGTCACGTGGCCACACCTAACACCAAGACAGTAGCAGAAAAATAGCTCATCATTTTAATGTTCAGAAGCGAAACAAATTTTAGGTCATTCTCCTGGTTTTCTTAGCAATAAGAAAAAATATTTAAAATTAGCAGAATTCTGTACTCACTTTGATTAGGTGAATAGGCAACTGACCCATATTCAAAATTCTCTGCATCCTTTTCTTATAATCCTTTACAAAATGCAGCAGAGGCACTAAAATTTGGCTCACATTTTAAATAAAACATTTTATTGATTTGGTCTTCTGTAGCTTATTGAGTTTTCATTCTCTCTTATTCTTTAAGAACAGCTCCGTATGTTTTTAGTTTGTCTCTGCCATTATTTCTAAGTAGTCTGCAACTGTAGCTCTGAGCTTCTCTTTGACCTGAGTTATTTCAGTTAGTGACTTCATATACATGTATATATATTTGCCGGTATTTTGTAATTTTGTTTTGATTGTTTAAAATTGTGTCATTGTCCAGCTTTATTACAATGTCAGAAACAGTGCAATGTCATTTCTACATCTGACTTGATATGATCAATTTTTCAAAATGTTTTGTGGGGCTTCCCTGGTGGCACAGTGGTTGAGAATCTGCCTGCTAATGCAGGGGACATGGGTTCGAGCCCTGGTCTGGGAAGATCCCACATGCCACGAAGCAACTGGGCCTGTGAGCCACAACTACTGAGCCTGTGCGTCTGGAGCCTGTGTTCCACAGCAAGAGGCCGCAATAGTGAGAGGCCTGCGCACCGCGATGAAGAGTGGCTCCCGCTCGCCGCAACTAGAGAAAGCCCTCACACAGAAACAAAGACCCAACACAGCAAAAATAAATAAATTAATTAATTTTTTAAAAAATGTTTTGTGGCTTCTGGAAAAAAAAAAGTTTATTCTTGATGTGTACCCAAATTTAATACAACCATTACCTGGCCTTTACTAATTATATAATTAAAAAAATAAAGAAAGAAAGAAAAGCTTCCCTTTCATTGTGTCTCCTGTGTAGTCACTGTGCATAATCTACCAGAGCTCAGGAGAGCTTACCACGACAACTGCAGCCCACTCTGGCCTGCAAAGAGCACAAAGGGGAAGAAGGGAGATGGGTGCTTAACTGCACAGGTGCTTTTAGCTTTCTGGCCGTTTTCCAAAGTCAAACAGAAAGTATTTCTGATGAGTCACAATTTGGTTTGATTTGCATGTCTCTCTTCCATAGTCAAGGATGGGTTATAGTTAACCAAATAGAAGAGGCAGGTTCAAGTAATAGGAAGAAAATAAAGACGGTTGAACAGAACAAGGCAGAAAAAACCTCCTACACATCCAGGTACACTCCTATTGGAGGCTGATTACTAGTATGTTTCCACACACAGTGGATACATCCTAACCTAACAGAAGGGCTTTTGATGACACTGAAGTAACGGCTAAATCTGACACCCATGTTTGTCCAATGCAATATCCAAGCCATCTGATCCAGGGCTCTTGGTCATTTAAGCTGTGCTCTCATCAGAAACTCATTAAAAGGGATGTGACTTCATCTAAATCTTAACTTCAGTTAAACCCCTCCAAAATCTTTCTCAGAAAGGTATCACATGAAAGTGACAAAAGAGAGACACTTACCTGGCTGCTTTGTCGAGCGAGGATACTAACTTCTGTTGAAGCCGCAGATGCTGCCAGCACTAAATCCCTTCAAAGAATAAAACCGGAAGACCATTAAATTCAAACAGCAACAGTTGTACCTTGACTTGAGTCACTGGTAGCATCTACAAGGCTTTCATTGGGACGTGAAGGAGAAAAGCAAGGTTTTCTACCCGGCTGAAGAAAGGTAAGAAGATTTTGGATGTAAAGCTTTATTTTTTAGTTCATAGGCTAGAGCCTGGAGACTCAGCCAACTGCCTCCCTACTTAAGACAAAGGAGAGACACAACAGAATCAAGTCAGAGTTCCCAATAAATATAATAACCCCCTGTAGAGAGAATAATCTAATTAGAGGAACAGAAGCTTTGCTTCAAGTCATCTATCTTTCAAAGGGACACTTCTGCTCAGAGGGAAACTTCAGTATGTTCCTTAAATATCAGTATTTTCTTAAGTCATCACCGGAGTTAATGAGAAAATGGGATTTCTAAGTTTAGTATGTATTTGAGCTAAATAATTCATGACTGGGAAAACAGAAGTAGTAGTCAGAAAGGCATTATCTAGCATGAGCTGAAAACGTTCGGGGTATCTCCAGCCTCTATTTTCCTCCCTTACAGAAAGGAAACAAAACAGAACAAGCAGGACCAAGTGACTCAGGGGTGACCTGACAGTGAGGGCAGGTTGTACCCTCCCTGGGTACGCGGCTCACCATTCTTCAATGTAGCTGAGGTAGTAATGATGCTGCCTCTCTGTACAGCTGCCGTAGCAGGGCTCCATAAAGTTCACAAACACTTCTGGGTGCTTTTCTTCTTTTTTCTACAATGAACAGAACGAGAAAAAAAAAATCTCATGGGCGATTTTTCTTGAATCCTACACAGTTAAGAATCTCAAAAGATAAAATCATTTAAGTTTTATGAGAAAATTCATTCAAAATATATAGACACTATATAAAGGCAGCACTGAGCAGTACAAAGAACAGAAGCGTTGGCCACTGACCAAACTGAATTCAAAGTTTTCTGTCACTTTAGCATGGACAGATTACTCAACCTCTCTGATAATGTTTTCTCTCATGTACGATGGACCTAAAAAACCTACATCAAAGGCTGCTGTGAGATATGAAAGGATACACATAAAGCATGTAACCCGGTCTAACCCGGAACATAAGGAGTGTTCAATAAACGCTAGTGTTAATATGATCCCTGGGAAAAGAAAATCTTAATGATATCTTGAAATAAGGCATCTTAATAAACTTATTTTTAAAATTCAATATTGTCAGGAACCCAAAAGAGTTAATAAAAACAAGGCACTTTTTTCTCTTATCAGATTGGCAAAGATTAAAAATGGTACCATTACATATTGACACACTTATTGGGACACTGGTAGTTCCAACCGTGGTAGGAGTACAAACTGATACAACTTTTCTAAAAGATACTTCGGCAGTGTTTTCAAAAGCCTATATCAAAAGAGCATACACTGCTTGACCTAGCAAATTCATTTCTAGGTATTTATCCTAAAAAATAAACATAATCCCATTAAGTGTACATAAAAGAGTGTTAGTATTCTTTAAAACAGGGAAAAACTGAAAGCAACCTGAGTATCCAACAGTAGAGGAAGCGCTAAATAAATTGATTATCTGCCCAAAAGCAAAATTCAGATTTACTGAGGTAGAAAGGTAGTTGCAATTTACTGAGTAAAACAACGTTGCAAAACAGAATGGCTAGTGCCACTTCCACTTTTGTTATACTTAGACTTTTATGTATGTATTTAATGTTTTTCTAGACTTTGAAAATTAACATGATTTGGAAATATAAGCCCTGCCTCATTTGCTGTTTTTAATGCCACTGCAATTTAGGAAGTGTAGATCTTATCATTCAGGTCCTTCTTTGTCCTTCAAAATGACTCACTCCCTCACTCAAATGGCTCTTCCTCAGAGGCCTTCCTTGACCACCCAAGCTAAATCACACCCCAGTCATCAACCAACCACCCCTCACCCTGCTTTATTTCCTCCATCACCCCTATCACTCCTTGATCCGACACTTGTCTGTGGACTAGCACGTTCATCCGAATGCAAGATCCACAAAAGCAAGGACTTTGCCTTGGTCGCAGCTGTATTCTCAGCTTTAAAGCACGGTGTGTAGGCATTCGATAAATATCTGATGAATAAATAAGTGAACGAATTTTGAAAATCAAGGTGCTTTCTTGCTTCTCTAAAATGTCTTTATCATGTTAACATCTACCACAACTCATAGTTTGCAACTTAAGCAAAGTAAGTTTTAGGACTTTTTTCACCTTGTGACTCAACAGTAGAACATGCTCTAAGTGAACACCACCATTTTGGTCCCTAGGCTCCCAGTGCAGCATTAAAATCTTACACCTCAAGTTGCACGACCACCGCCAGCAAGAAAAGGAAACTGAAGCCTAACTGCAAACTTTATTAGAAGACTTCTAAAATTCTCAAATAACAGAGACATCCTTTTCATAGACATACCGGGAGCAGAGCCATCACCACATCTGGAGCAGTTTCCAAGGTCCCGTCTGCAGCAGCATATACTATTGTGAATTCATATGTACCAATCCACAGCACATCCAGAACTGAAAGACACACATCCTAATAAACCATCTTGTGCTTGGAATAAGCCCTGTACATTATACCACCATCTCATGGATAAAAAAAAAAAAAATCCAACTCCTATAGCTTTTAAAAGGGTCCAGATTTCACTAACTAAATACAATTCACAAAGACTCAAGAAGCCCAAATTCATCCCAAAGTGGTATTTTTTTTTTCTGGTGGATTATAATCAAGGCAAATAATGAAGAATTCTAATTAAAAAATCAGGATCCATTTAATGTCATTTACCAAGACACACAGGTGTCTACCAGAGGATTATTGTTACAGCGACTTAATTAGCTAACTGAAATAATGGGAGTTTTCATACAGGAGGCACCAACACTTCCCGGATCAGGTATGCAGGTACATCACATGATCTGAAATTTCTGCAATAAGGACAGCACCTCATTAGAGGTCAGCCCAATAAGAAAAGCAGATGTGTTACCTCTGACAGGATGATCTGCCTCATAAAATGGAGGACAAGGAATGACTTTTTTTTCCTGCAAAGTCTGAAAGAGATTTGAAAAAAAACAGAGTCGAATGAAACAATCCCCAAACCAATGAAACTGTCAAATCCAGTAAGTTCCCCTAGAAACCACCTAAGTCTCATCTGCCCAGCCAGGAGAGAATGAATACAGAGACAAGTGGATGCCTACTTCTAGAATCCTACCCTACGGAAACACTCAGAGCAACGTGATCAATGGAGGTGATGAGGATGCTCAATGCAATACCACTCAGAGTAGCAAAACCACTCACACTGATACAAATAACCATCAATAATGGAACAGAGATATTCACATAGTGGAGTCCTATGCAGCCATTCAAAAGAATGAAGTAGCTCTATATGTAATGAGCTGGAAGAAAAAGACTCCAATACACTTTTTTTTTTTTGGCCGCAGTGCGCAGCAGGAGGAATCTTAGTTCCCCGATCAGGGATCGAACCTATGCCCCCTGCAGTGGAAGAGCGGAGTCCTGACCACTGGACCACCAGGGAAGTCCCTCCAATACACTATTAAGTTTAAAAAAAAAGCGAACAATAAAATTAAACCAACTGTATTAATTTTTTTTGTGTGGTACGCGGGCCTCTCACTGTTGTGGCCTCTCCCGTTGTGGAGCACAGGCTCCGGACGCGCAGGCTCAGCGGCCATGGCTCATGGGCCCAGCTGCTCCGCGGCATGTGGGATCTTCCCGGACCGGGGCACGAACCCGTGTCCCCTGCATCGGCAGGCGGACTCTCAACCACTGCGCCACCAGGGAAGCCCTGTATTAACTTTTTACAGGCTAATGCCCTAAAAGAATATGTACCAAATGTCACATAACAACTTTTTGTGATGACAAAGAAGATACAAAACCTTAACCTCAAACCTATTCCACCACATTCACCACTTTGCAACCCCTCAGAGAACAGGAGGAATACACAACAGCACAGGCCTTGGCATTGCCTGTGAACCCCTCCTTCCCATTCGGGTGTGACCAGATATATATGGATTCTTTGTCGATTTACATTGAAGAATATTCATGAATATCACCTCTGGAAGAGGTGACACAGCTCACCACAGGGAGAGCTGACACAGCTCACCACAGGGAGAGCTGACCGAGTGCACATGCAACACTCTTTCCTGCAGTCACTTGTGTACTGACAGATTTGTTGCAATGAGCGTAAATTACATTTTAATAGAAAAAAACAGCAAAGATACTCCCAAACCACCCCCAAAACAGTGGGTAACTTAAGTAAAAAAGTTCTGAAGTCCAAGGCAAGACTTACAGGAAGATACTGGACCACAGTTCCATTCTGTTTCCCCACTGCCAGCTGCTTTCCTTTGGGGCTCCAGCAGACTGGGTAAAGAAGAGAATGCTACCAATTAAAAACTGAATAAAATGGAGCAAACCAACGAGATCTGTACCAAAACAGCTACATAATAACCACTTCTTGTTCCTCTGTCAGTCCATGGAAGACTGTGGGATCACACTTACTTGGCACAGTGAAAAAAGAAAGATCATTTCGATGATACAAGCCAATTGTGATTTATCACTGGGCCACTGAATCAGCTGTTAAAAATGCTTTTTCAATGGAGTACTGCCCAGAAAGCTGTAAAGTACAGAAAACTCTGTAGTCTTTAGATAAAACAAGGAGAATACAGAAGGTTCTCAAATATCAAGATGTCATTCTCTTGCTCCTGTTTGATATTTTCTAATGCTTTTCCTCAAAGGTACAAATGACTGTTTCAGAGTACGACCCTTTTAGATCAAAACAATTATTCTCAACAACACAGTTCTAAACCAGCTATACTAAAATATTTCTTTCTCCAGAAAACCCAAGCACATTCAAGTTAAATCACGTATGCTATTTGGCTTCAAGGACATTAACTACGGAAATAAAAAACACTCTCTCCACTTCTACCAAAGAACAACAAATATGACAAAAAACCCCATTTGCTTTTTTTCCAGAGATTAAATTTTGACTAGATCACCATTACCATATGTTACAGAGGAGAAGACTTTATTACTCACCAGATGTTACTCCTACTGTGGAAGGAAGAGTCGCACACACTTTCACTGTCTCTGTGATCTGCAGGACAGCAATGCTGCCATCAGCCAGGCAAACTGCCACCATGGAGGAAACAGTGGGGTTCCACTTCATATCGATCACCATGCCTCCTGCATCTTTCAGGAGCTTATGATACGCAAACGGGCGTTTCTGCTGTTTGGCCTTTTAAAACACATGCCCAGAAGCAAAAATAAATTAGTAAATTAATAAGTACAGAGACATTTAATAGTCAAAGAAAATGACTGAATCTGCAAGTTTTCTCGAATTACGGTTCACCTTTCTCCATGACCATGAAAAACAATGCAGCTCTGCACAACAGTCTATTTGTTACAGACAATTTTAACACAGCTTTGAAAACGGCAATCAATCGTTATAGCATACTCAGAGGGACTCGCAACAAAGGAGTGCACAAATGCAAAATAATCCATAAAGAGCAGACACTAAATAAAAATCTGGGCTCTGCTTCTTAATAGTGTTGGGCCCTTGAATTTTAGAGAGCTCTCATCTTAAAATATTATACCTATTTTAACTGGTATGCAGAAACCACCAAAGGCTTCAAAATTCCAAAAGAGCTTCACTGAAGATTTGTTGTGGAAGGTTAATGAAAGATTATTGATATAAAAGGTACCCCAAACAAACAGACACACAAGAACCCCAAATACTTAAACTCTTTGGGCCTGTTTCTCTACCTATGAAATGAAGATGACAGTACCTACTGCATAAGGCCATGAAGGGTAGGCATGAATGAGAACAAGGCATGTCAGGCACAAGTACAGGGCCTGGCACAAAGTCAGTATAAACACTCAATATTATTGACTATTATCATTACTAAACGGCCTGGAATGGAAGAACACTATATTAGGAGGCCAGAGATCCAGGATGTAGGAACTTCTGACATTAACTACTAACTCTATGGCCTTGGGCAAGTCACCTAAGGGTCCCTGGGCTCTGGCTGTCTCATATATAAATGAGAAACGATAACATCTTGGGGCAGGTGGTTATTATGAAATAATTTCTTGAAGTCACCTCTATCTCCAAAGATCTATGATTCTGTAATTAAGGACCTTTTAAAAACCCATATTTAATCTAGAAAAAGAATTCAAAGGCCAACCAAGAACTTCTAGGTTATGATTCAATACCAAGAAATCTTCTTAGGTCCCTACAGTTTGCCAGCAGCTTACCTCATTTGAGAAAGTGCGAACATCAAAAAAAGCAATAATGGAACCATATTCACTGGACATCATGCACACGGAAAGTGTGAGGTTATCACAGCTCAGGGCCAGGTGATGTATCGGGAATTTCATAGGAACTAGCAAGCTTTGAACTTTATCAACTATGAAAACATAAAAAAACACAAAGCAGAAAATGGAATGTTCTGAGCATAAGCCACAAACTCTCTATTCAGGTCTATGTGGAACAATTTTTACATCTACATAAAAATATGCACACACCCTGATAACAAGTTGTACAAATAAATCGTAGCTTTCTTACAGATGTATAGTGTTGCATTAAGTATCATAGGGACTCTTCCTCATCTGACCTGAGAAAACTAACTGTGGCTGTAGCCCTTGTTGGAAACAGTGCCCTGTACCGTATTTTTGCAACAACGCTCCAAAGAGCACACATTCCCATTTGTTTGGATGGCGCTGTTGTGACAACTAAAGCGCCACGCAATGAAACTCTTCTCCCAGGGAGCTGGAACCCAAGTTCAACTGTGCATGGCACAATGGTAAGCTGTTCTTCCCTTTCAGCTCAGAGGGACAGCTCATCAAAAGAGAAATACAATGGACCAAAGAGAACACCCAGGAGGGCTTCCAGAAGCCTACCTAGAACTTCCTCTTCTTTGGGGTCAATCTCAGGACTAACAGCAGTTTTACTACTAGAATGATTTCTTGTAAATCAAGTGGCGTTAGCACTTCACTCCTCTATCATGCAACACAAACCGAGGAACTTACCTATCTTATTGGGATCATCTCCAGGTTTATTCTGAATAAGAAGATTTTTAGTAGGAAAAATCTGCAACCCACTGGCTCCACCAGCGAAGACCAGGCCATACTTGTTGGACACGGCAAGCAGATTCGAGCGTTCCTTGGGCAACTCCTCGGGGGAGTCAAAGATTCTCACCTTCTTCAGGGCTCTAAACTGAAAATCCTGTGGTGCGGGGTCAAAGCAAGATCAATTCAGGGAAGACAGGAAATTAAATCACACCTGTCATTATATTTCAGTACACTCAATTCCAGTACAACAAAATATACGTTACCCTGAGGGTAAGGGCTGTGGGGCTCAGTCATTTTTAAGCTTCCTGTGATATTGTGGCACCCGGTATAGTGCTTATTAGTATTTACTGAATAAATTAAATTAAAAAAAATTCTTTCATGAAGCCTTCCTTGACTAACCCAGATAACACTGATCTTTTCCTTTTCTGAATTCCTAGCTAATTTATTGTCTGAACCACCACACAAGCTGCACTTTTCTATTTACAGTCTTGTCCTATTTCATGGTATGTCTTACGATACAGAGTAGTGCTTAATAAATTGTTGTTAAATATTGAAAGCATCACTCAACTACCCTGTAAGCTCAAACTACCAGTGCAGTACTCAACAAAGATACATGGAAATAATGGCCACTGAACGGTAACCAAATCCTAAACTGGCTTACCTGCATCAGACACTAAACAAAACTCCCACCACAGAAGAGGTCAATCTCTTGGTGTTCAAGACCTATAAACATACCTAGATGCTATGAGGACATCTAAAATCAAGTCCAAACCCCTTAACACAGGCTATAAGGCCAACATGGCTTGACTCGTCCACTTCCAGAGCCTCACCTCACAATACTCTGTTTCCCTCCCACAACTGCGCCATCACCTCTGCCACATCCAGTGCCACCCCCACCCCCCACCTATTTCCAGTTTTCATTTCCTCCCATTTTCATGGTCCTTAGCCCCTCAGGGCCTGGGAGCCTTCCCCAACCTCCTGTCAATGTCTGATTCATCCAGTCTTCCATGAATTTATTGATCTGCTTTCAAAGAATTTTCAGTGTGTACCACTTCTTGGTAAAAAGAGTTCCATACGTTTACCAAGCATTATGTTAAGTTGTGTTTTATATATATATACACATTTTTTTCCTTCAATTCTAAACCTATCTTTAAGTCAAGGTTTTGGTGAAAAGAATATGAATCTCCTTTTGCTTACACTCTAAAAAGTGTAAAAGCCAAAAACAGCCTTTCTCAGCCTTCATTTGTGTCCATTTACAGTGTTTCATCCAGGATCCCTAACACACCCCACATACTCGTTTCCTTGGATTCAATGTTTAATACAGATTTGCTAAAAGATTAACTGAAATACTCTTTCAATTCCAACTGAGTATGGTGATCAGAAATCCACACGGCTTTCCAGGTCAGACCACAAAATTTTCAACCTTTTTTGTTAATTCTCATCCTGATAATCCCAAATATCCTACTTGGGTCTTGTAATCAGAAACTTAAAGGGAGGCCATCATTTTCTAAGTCTGTGGTTCTAAAACCTTTTCATCCTTCTGCTCCAGCATATGAAATATGGCACACTCTCACTGGGCTGCTCACCCTTGGCGGTGATTCTCAAGAAGAACGAGGGCATCACTATTCTAAACATGGTGTGGATTACTACTCCCTAATGCATTTCAGTGATTTGTTGTTCAAATGCCTAAAATATTCCTACAACTTATTTCCTTTCGGGTGTTTACAACCATCATTTGGCTCACCTGGCCCTCTCAAGCTTCCTGACTTCAGGCTGATTTCCTGTCCCGAAACAGCCCTCCGATTCTAGTTAACTAAAGCTCTTGTAGGATAAGTGATGAACCCTGGCTCTGCATTAGGCAAGCGTAGACCGCCTTACTAGTACAGCGAGAGAGGAGGGTCTTAAAAACAGTAACAACAATCTGGTTTTCAGTCCGCTTGTCAAATGCGGCTTTGGGTAAGTTACTTTCCGAGCCTCGATTTGCTCCTCTACATTAACAAGTATTCCGTGGGGTTGCTGTGATAATTATCAGTGCCTTGCACAGTAAACGCTCAATAAACAGTAGTTAGTACCAGTACTCCAATCACCACATTAAAGGGGCTAGGATAACTCAAGAGGCTCGCACAAGACCAACAGGGGACGCGGAAACCGCATTCGGTGGGGCTTTCACGCCGACTGCACTGAAGAGCGCTCCAGGACGCGGTAAAGAGAATTCTGAAAGCGGCAAATTGTTCAAGCAGGAGGCGCGGGGGCGGGGGGGGGGCGGGGCGGGTCAGCGGACATCCGAGCTTCCCGGGTCAGCGGGGCTCCAAGGCAACACCAGAACTAAGGAAGGGAGGGAGGCCCCGGCCAGTGTCTGACCTTCATCTCCCGCTCGGGGATCACGGCATCCATTTCGTCTCCCATCGCGCCGCCCTCAACAGGTCAAAGCAGCTACCGCAGCTGCCCGCGTCCTTGCAGACACAGCCGAGGCGGCCCCCAGGCCAACTTCCTTCCCTCAGCTCTAGCGGCGCGCGGGCATGACGTATTTTCCGGCGCGCTTTGATGACATCACACGTTTCGGGCCGAGGGAGGTGGAGGGACCATCTAAAGTCGCGAGCTCTTCTGGCCGCCGCCTCCCATTGGCCGGCTCTGACAGAGTATGGGGCGTGGCCCGGGGTCTGTGCGCCTGCGCCCGGGAGCGTCCAGGTGCCGCCACCGCGTTTTCAGGTGGAGCGCGCTTGCTTCCTGTTGGTTTCTCATACTGGGAAGTGCAGGCGCGAGTCCTCCACGTTCGTTTCGTTGAAACTTCGTAGTAGTCTTTGGATGTAGGTGGTTATTAATAGTTCCGATTTCAGAGGAGTTGGGAACTTGACAAATATTTCCAAGGGGCTGTAGCTTCTGAGAAAGGCTTTACAGGAGTGTGGAAGAAAAAGGTTCTCAGAAAGTCGGGGGGCCGGGTTCTCGCCAAGGAGACCCTTACGTGTCTGAAGGCTGAAAGGGGATATTAAAGGGCCCCAGCGATCAGCTTTGTTTACTCGTTGGAGTAACAAGCCTGGAAACTGCGCGAAACACTGCGCAAAGACATCCTAGTCACCTAGCAGTTATCATTGCCATTTAATTGATGAGGCAGCTGGGAGCACAGAGAAGTTAAGAAAATTCCCCAATGCCCCTCAGTCAGAAAGTGGTGAAGGCTGGATTAGAATTCAGCCTTGCTGATTGCTGGCTATTACACAGTCCTACGTGGAGATTTTTGTAGTTGAATTATATTATAAATGCTCTAGGACAGAGATTCTTAACTTGGAGCCCATGGGCCAGCTCCGGGAGGCGGGGGTGTATTCTGCCACTTACTATTTGGTTTTCAGCAAACTGCTTCTCTGCTCCAAGCCTGCTTCTCATTTATCAAACTAGGATGATATAATAGAACCTTACTCATGGGGTTGCTGTGAGGAGTAAAGGCACACAGGACACATTCAGTCGTGTCACTATATCAGCTAGCTCTTCTGAATTTGCTGACCCCGGAACCACCCCCAAAATACACCAGTCAAGACGTTGATAAGTTTGTCTGTTTTATTTCCAGTCCAGTACCACACATACTCAACACGCACCCGCACACACATACTGCATCCACTTGAACTTGCCCGACACACTCCTTCCTTTTGAATGGCAGGGACAGAGCCATACTCGGCAGTCCCCAAGCTGCTGGTTACATTAGTTAGATTTGGTCTTTCAGAAAGAAGACAGCTGAACTCCTAGAAGCTGAGCCCTTAGCCAGAGAGGTAAGAGTCCTAGAGCTAATAGCCACAACCTGAAATACATGCAGACCACACCCCCTTTCCAGGGACCACTCTTGAGACCCTCTCCCTCTGGAAGTTGAATTCCAAATGATGAAGGAGCTGGTAAAGTTTCCCCAGGACACTCCCCATCCAATGAGAGAACTCTTTCCTGCCCTTTCTAGAAGCTGGGGACACACCCACTTGCTCTCCTCCCTTAAGAAGGTTTCCTGCAGTCTTGTAAATTGTGTAACCCGCTGAAATAAGCCTGGTTGGTTCTGTCCTCCTGTCTGAGTGAGGTACAGATACACTATGATGGGTAGTCAAGGAAGGCATTACCTTGCTCAAAGGTCTCAGCCTGTCCCAGAAAGGAGAGTCAGTGGGAAGGGGTGGAGACAGGCAGTTGCTCATCTAAGGATCTCAGGAGAAAAAAAAAAAAAGGCAGGGGAGGGAGTGGAGGTGAGATTTTATATTTACAGGGTGGAATGTTCTGCTGGGGTTTAAACTTCAACTAGGCTTATGCATTTGAAGTACCTTCTTAGGCCGAAGATCAGCCAGTCGTGGCCAAATAATCTCGTTCCTGAACTGGTCGAGACCAGTGGATTAACCCAACCTGGCCGTTTCCCCATCCCCTACCTGCTCCACTCCCTGCAGCTGCTGTAAAGTCAGTTCCTTGGCCTTGATTACGGGTCAGAGGAGTCACAGGGAGCTCCCAGGGGCTCCAGCACCCCCCCCAGCTCTCCTCTTCAGGTTTGTGAAGGCTTCTCCAAGACCCTTGCCCAGTGTTGGGCCCAGTTAGGCCCCCCAGGATTGCCCTGCAGTCACCTCATACCCTCCTCTTTCCTAACTTTCATCACCTGGGTCAGACTTCCCTACTAGACTGTCCATTTCACTACTGGGTTCTTAGCTCTTGGCCCATAACAGGTGGTTAATAAACATGTTCAATGGATGATGCATCTAAGTCCTGAGTGGGCAGGGGAAGGGACTCCAGAATACAGGTGGGGTCAAGGCTGGGGTCCCTGCTGATGCTGCCTCGGAGGCACTGGGAAGGGTGAATCCTGGCCCAGGGCCTTGCCCAAGGGTTGACCTAGGAGACTGCCCCTCTCCGCCCCTTCCCTTGTTTTCATCACTGACTGAGGCATGGGCAGGGCATCTGAACACCTGGGCCCCGGTCCGGATCTTCCATCTCCAGGTTGACCCCCGCCCTAGGGCAAGGCACTTAATCCCTGTGGGTCACCACAGTTTCCTCACCTGTGAACTGAGAGGCCTGGCCCAGCTAACCTACAGGGTGAGTCAGGGCTCTAAAACCCTAGTCCATAATAAAAAACACAGGTGACAGTCTAATCCCCAAGCTCAAGGTTTTGAGTGATTTGGAAACAGAATGATGAATTAGAGAGACACTGGACATGGCACATGTCAGGACAAAGTGGGGGGACTTAAAGCTTATAATAGGTTGTAAATAAATACCTGTTGAATGACGGAGTGAGTGAATGAATGAATGAATGAATGGTGTAAGGAAGGTGTGAAGGCAAATGGGGAAGCAGAGTCAGGTTTCAAGCAGATTGGGATCAGAAAGGCAACCTATTTCTCAGCTCCTGGCTTAACAGTGGTGCTGCCTCTCTTTGCCATGAGCATTTAAGTCCTCATCCTCCTATCCTGTAGCCCTCAACATCCTCCCTAAAAGGTGGGACTAGACTGAGCTGAATCCCCTCCCCCAAGGCCCCTGGACCCCCTCTGCCTCTGAAGCCCCAGCAAGGGTCAGGGGGAGCTGCACAGAGCTGCCTGTAAAGGTGTGGCCAGGGGGCAAGGCTAGAGGATTCCTCTGGAACCTTCCTGAAGGGCTCAAATTGCCAAGTCCCTCTCCTTCTCTCCTTCTGTCACCTCACTAAGGATAAGACGAAGTGTGGACTGAGAGGGGACCAGCTGAGGAGGTGGGACATTGCGTGGCCACATCCTGGCCCACCCAAGAGCACTGGAACCACAGAGCTGTCCGAGGATACCCTAACGAGGCCCTGCAGCCTTATCCCGACTCCAGGGTCTTCTGAAAGGGGCAGAGGGCCTCACCAGGGCCAGGCCAGGGTACCAGGACTTAGCTCAGTGACCTGGAAGGACAAACAGTACCAGCTTCAAGTGCGGGAATCACAGGTTTCCGGTCTCCCTGTCCTGGCCCTGCACCCTCTGGTTTTTGGTTTAATGTCAGCCCTTCTGCACAGGGAGGGGAGATGCAGGGAATAAGAGAAGGAGGGATCTGGACTCCCCAACCCAGAGCCCCTTTAAGGCAGATAACTTGTGCTATACAAAGAGATCACTGACTCTGCTGACGAAAAAACAAACGCACGACGACCAAACAGAACAAATAAGACACATCGCAATGAGTCGAGAAGGGCAGTGAGATCAGGAGGGAGGCAGAGGAGTGGGGAGGGCGGGGCAGGTCCAGGCGGGGGTCCTCAGGGCAGGCTGGCAATGTCTCTCTCTGGAGGGGGGCCAACTGGCTTGGGGCTGCTCTCGTTGGCTTTTCCTTCAAACATCATGACTCTGGTTCAGAAACGGAGAAAAGAAAGAAAACACAAAACAGGATTAGGACTCCTTTCCTCGTCCAGGGAAAGATCATCCCAGCCCTCATGTCTGCAGGGTCCTCCACAGAATGCCCTTGCATCCACTCTCCAGCGAGATTTTCCCAGAAGCCCATGCGGCAACTCCACAGAGGGGGCTGCTAGGCCCATTTTACAGAGGAGAAAGCTGAGACACAAAGGGGCAATGAGACTCGTCCGAGTCACACAGGCAGCCCGAGGCAGGACGACACTCACTCGAGACCTCGGACTTCTAGGTCATGCGCCTTCCCCTGAGCACACTGCCTGGAGGAAGCAGAGCTCGGCTGGGCCGTGGCTCTGCTCAAAACCCCTTCAGATCTTCAAAAACCTCCCACTACTCTGACAGTAAAATCTGGGCAGCAGAAGAGGATGGGGGTTCAAAGTATAGCCTCTGGAGGGAAACTGCCTGGATTTGAATCCCAGCCCTACTCCTTCCCAGCTGGTGACTCCTGCAAGACACTCAACCCCACCGATGCTCAATGTTTCCAACTGAAAGTGAGGATGTCAAAAGCACTCGCATCCTGGAGCTGTTCCAAGTGACAGTGCCCTTCACCCTCTGTACTCCCTCCCTGGGTGGGCTCCTTCAGTCCCTGGCTTTAAATCCCATCCAAAGTGTGATAGTCGGGCTCCCCTGGTGGCGCAGGGGTTAAGAACCTGCCTGCTAATGCAGGGGACATGGGTTCGAGCCCCGGTCCGGGAAGATCCCACATGCCGTGGAGCAACTAAGCCCGTGCACCACAACGACTGAGCCTGCTCCCCAGAGCCCGCGAGCCACAACTACCGAGCCAGTGTGACACAACTACTGAAGCCCACACGCCTAGAGCCCGTGCTGCGCAACAAGAGAAGCCACCGCAATGAGAAGCCCGTGCACCGCAACGAAGAGTAGCCCCCGCTCGCCGCAACTAGAGAAAGCCCATGCGCAGCAACGAAGACCCGACGCAGCCAATAAATAAATTAATTAAAAAATAAAATTTAAAAAAACAACAACAAAGCGTGACAGTCCACAAACGGCTTACCTCTGAGCTCCAGATCTGCACAGGCAGTTCCCTCCTCAACCCCTCCCCTTGCGTGTCTAGGGGCTCTTCCAATTCAATACATCAAAACTGAGCTCAATTCCCACCTTCCCCCCTGCTCTTTTCTCAAAGCAAACAGCACCATCACTCAGTTAACTCAGATCCCAGACCTTACAACCATCAGACTCCTTGTTTTCTTTTAAACCTGGAAACAACCCTTCTAGCTCTACCTCCAAAATCACTCCCAACTCTGACAGCCCCTGCCCACCTCCACTACAGCCTCTCCAGGCTGAGAGCCTCATTTGTGACTTGCACAAGCGCACGAGCCTCCTACCGGCCTGCCTGCTGCCACTCTTGTCCCCACCGCAGTCGGAGGGGGCCTTTTAAAAGTCAGCTCCTAGCTTAGAGTACTCCAATGGCATCCCTCCACGGCAGTACAAAATGCTAAACCAACCGTGGCCCACATCACCTGGCCCCTGCCCATCTCTGCAGACTCATCCTTCACTCACTGCACTCCAGGCACACGGGCCTCTGTGCTACTCCTTGAGCGTAAAAGGGCCTCTGCACTTGCCGCTTCCTCTGCCTGGAATGCTTTCCCCTAGATATTCCCATGGCTCGTTTCTTCACATCTCCCTCGCGCAGGAGGTCAGATGTCACCTGCTCAATGAGACCCTCTCTGCCTACTATGCCACGCCTCTCTATTCCTCTCGCCCACTTTATTTTTCTTTGTATTGCTCTGTTGCAATCTGGTGTTGTGGTTTGTTTTTGTCTGTCTCTTTCCATCAGAATGTAAGTAATTCATGTGTCCCCAGCACCGAGCATAATTCCTGGCACATAGGTGGTGCTTAATAAATATTTGCTGAATGAATGAATGATACAGCTAAGGAGTCACTACGCAGACTAGATGGATCAGATTGGAAGTGCCCAATACATAGTAAATGTCCACTAAATCTTAGGTGTGGTTTTTAATAGCATCACCACTCTTATTGCTACCACCTGGCCTCTCAGGTGCAGCATGATCTGACCTGGACGGTTCTCCCACCACCCCT